TAATTCTTCTGATACCCAAATATAGTCAATTCTTGTTGCAGCTTCCTTGTTTGACCATGTGTACTCTTGACTTGTTGAATGCATATTTCTATATATATCTATAAAGCTTTGCTTTTTCATCCAATTAAAGATTGGTAATCTTTTAAAATTTGCTGATTGTAAATGTTGTCTGTCTATTATATTGTCTATTGTATGATTAAAGTCATCTATAATCACAAATTGTGTTTGTCTTTTTTGTTTAGTAATCCTTTCTGCAATCTTTTGCTGAATGAATCTTCCTATTATCTTGTCACTTGGTAGTATATAAATTCCTATTACCACTAGCTCCAATTGCTTGAAGTATAGCATAATCTCTATCATGTATTCATTTACTCTTTTGACAGCATCCACATGCTTTTTTCATTGTTCTTCTATTAGAATTCCTACACCTAACCCTTTTTTCTTGTTCTCTGCTGCATTTGTCCAATATTCTATATACTTTTTGTTTGCTATATATACTAAAAATCTTCTCTCTCTTTCAACAATGTTCATTTCTGTGATTCTCAATATTACAATTTCTTTTTCTTTTGCCCAATCTAACAGGTTCTTGAGTTTCCAACCTTTGGTCTTTAAATCATTGATATTATGACATGCTATTTTGATTTCTTTTCTTCTTTTTTTCCATCTTCCTTTTAGTTGTTCTTGTCTTATTTCTGTATTGTCAGTGTTTTTAATTGCCTTTCTTTTTCTTTCTTTCAAATAAGAGGATGCTTCTTTTTCCTTCTCCTCAAACATTCTTCTTTTCTTCTGCAGAAAGGCTTCAATCTTCTTATCTGTATTCCTAAGCTTAACTAAGACACTCTTAGGAGTGGTTAGGTGAATCTCTACTCACCTCTAGCTGTATTTCTTCTATTCTATTTAGTCTTTCTAATATTTAAAACAAGACATCTTCTACTAGTAATATTCTTTCTTGATCTATTATATTCATTTTGGCCTTTTTTTCCTTTGCTATCACTGCCTTTTTCTTTATATCTGTGTTTTTGTTCCCTAATTATGCTTCTATATCTTGTAACTGTGGGTCACTTTTCATTTCTCCATATCTTTTAATAGGTGTTTTATGTCTTGTATCTCTGACTTTTGATGCCTTTTGTCTTCTGTAATTCAACTGTCTTCCATTGCTTGACTTTGAACTTTCTTGTCTTCTGCTTTTTGACTCTTCTCTTTTCTGAGTCTTTCTTCTTTTAGGATTTTTTCATCTTACTTAATGGTTGTTGTACTATATTGGTGTTGTTTAAGCTGCCTTCACTTCTTAAGCATTTGCAAAAGTAATTATTGCAAACTTTTTCTGATTTCCATTTCTGTTAAATGGTATATATACTGCCTTTGCTCTCTTATTTCTTAAACATCTTAATAAAAGCACTTTTGATACTTCTTTAGAGATGTCTAGTAACTTTGCTATAAAATGGCTTTGTTTCTCTCTTTGCATATAATCTTCATTTCCTTCTGTTACTCTTGCTAATTTATTATTGCCAAGAGGTAATGTCTATATATTGTCTTTTTTTCTCCCACAATCTGCTGCTACGACTACTAGTGCTTTATATTGTGATCTTTTAATTCATATTATATGCATATTTCTCATACTTCTGCACATATATTTCAATTCTTTTTCATTGATGTCTGATGGTAAGTCCCAAATTTTTAGGTATCTTATTGTTTCTGCTTCTTCTAATTCTTCTGTTTGCAGTCTTTCTGATTCTGTTACAGCCTTATTTTATTTTCATACTTTGCTTTGCTATGTTTCTTTTTGTTTAGACTCTTTCCATTTAAGATTTTCAGATCTTTCACTTCCTTTCTGTTGTTTATTCTTTAATCTATGCTTGTTGGTTGCTTCTTCTTGTTCTTTCTTACTCTCTATTTGGTTTTGTGTTTCAACTGGAATCAGATTAAACCAACCTTCACCTTTTTACTTTATTCGATTAATTGTTTCTTCTCTTTCTCTTTCATAGTCAAATGATACTTCGATCCAACTGTTGCCTTTCACAAAGACATTTTCAATTTTTGTAATATGTCTATTTGCATTAAGCATCCATTTTACTATGCCTGTTCTTTCTAACTTTGTTTCACCTAGAACATTATAGGCAGGAATTCTCGCTATTACTGGTGTTTCATTGTTACATGGTCTGTTGTTTGGTGCCCAGATGCTTTGTTCTAATAGCACTTCTATTGTGTCTTGTTGTAGTATCATTAAGTCTTCTTCTTTGTTTTCTTTCTTTTCTTCTGCTTTTATTAGGCTTGAATTGTGTTATTAAGTCTTTTTATTTCTTCTTATCTTCTTTATATCTTGTTCCTGTGCTGTATATCTTTGTTTTTTTTCTGTTATTACCTGTTTCTTACTTGCTTCATATTTTTTGAGTTCTTCTTCTGATTCTACTCTTTCTTTATTTTCTTTTGTTTTAACTATTTCTTCTGGCTGTTTTGCATTTTTTACTTCTCTTTCTTTCTGCTGTTGTAAGCTATCTTCTATCTTAAAGCTAAAATCTATCAATTTACTTCTTTTGTCCATCCATGCAATGGCTTTACTCAATGTTCTTACTGCTGCTATGTCTGCTACATCTGCTGCGAATAGTAATGCTATATATCTGTCTATTCTTATTTCTATAACATCTGTTTTTCTAGTATTTTGACAAGCTTTACATTGCCAACTCTCTGCAGACTTTGTGCTGTTAATCTTTCTAACACCTTTTCTAATAAACTTTCAGGTCTTACTTCATATATGTTACCTTCCATACTAATTGTTATCATTTTATTTGTTAGTTGGTTTGTTGCAGCTGTTGCTATATTATATATTTACTTTGTTAGGCTATATTTATACACATGTTTGTTTTTTTATCTTACTTGTTTTGTTATACTTTTCATGTAATCTAATTGATCTGTGCAGAAGGGTTACAAGAATTCATCAAAATTTACAAAAAATTTTTTGTTTTTAGCCAAAAAATTTATTTTTCCAAGCTTTGCTATTTCTATGTTATTTCTATTTGTATTTTGTTCTATTAGCTTGGTGTAAATTTTGTTGCTCTTTCTTTTTTTACTAAGGGTTTTAGTGTTGCTTCTTAGTGTGTTTTGCAATATTTTTCCTGTTTTGCTTCTCACTGATTTTGGTTGAGAGATCTGCAAAGGAGAGTTCTGTTTTGGATTTATTATATTTTCTTTAATAATTCTTTTGTTGTATTCTGGATTTAGAATTAAAAACTTTTTGCTTAAATAAATCATCAGAGTTATAGTCTTCCAAAAGATCATTAAAAATAAAATTTACAAGATTTTTTTGTAAAATTGCATTTTTTTAATTTTCATTCTTTTTTTATTTATTATTAGTAGAAATTTGGTTATAGTGATTATGGCAACTAATATATGTTTTTAAAATATTGGGTTTATGCCTTTAAAAAGAATTACTTGGTTTGCTAAAATTGCACTACTGCTTTTCATTTTGAAGAATTAAAGAAAAAAAAGTAAAATTACTATTAAACCAATTATCAATAATATTTTGCTAAATATTATTATCATGATTCTAATTATAATGACTTGACAATATTATATAATTTTCAAAACTTTTCTGGGTAGTAATTTTACCTGATCACTACCTACCAGAATGCAGCTCTAAATCTTGTGAAGAAATTACCAGAGAACAGCTTCAAAGCTGGCAAAAAAAATTACCAAAGAACAGCTCCAAATCTGATAAAGAAAATTATAAACCTAGTGAAACTAATAGAAATTTATTAGAAGCTAAGATAAATTAGAGTAGGTTTTTACTAAAGAACAGCTCTAAACCCAGCAAAGAAAATTATCAGAAAACAGCTCCAAAATTTCTAAAAAACCTATTGAGAATAGCTTTAAATTTAGCAAAGAAAATTATTAGAAGACAGTTTCAAAACTTTTAAGAAACAACTCAAAACTTCTAAAAAACCTACCAGAGAATAACTCAAACCTTGGTAAAGAAAATTACCAAAGAACAGCTTCAAACATGATAAAAAAACTAGAAACTAAACTGAATTAGAGTAGGTTTCATGGTATAAAACTACTAGAAAACAGCTCTAAACCCAGAAAAATTATCAGAGAATTGCTTCAAAATTTTTAAAAAACCACTAAGAAACAGCTTTAAATCTGGTAAAGAAAATTATCAAAGAAAAACTTCAAATTTGACAAAGAAAATTACAAGAAAAAATCTTTAAAACCATGAAGAAACTAAAAGCTGAAGCCAAAATAAAGCAAGTTTCTTAATAGAAAACTACCAGATAACAGCTTCAAACTCTATGAAAAAAACAGCTCAAAAATCTCTACCAGAGAACAGCTTTCTGCCTACAAAAAAACTATTAAAGAACAACTCCAAACACAGTGAAGAAAATTATAAAAAAACAGCTTCAAACCTAATGAAGAAACTAATTAGAAGCTAAAACTGAATCAAAATAGGTTTCTTAGTAGAAAACTACTCTAAACCAGCTTCAAAATACCAAAGAGAACTACCAGAAATAAGCTCTAAAATGTCTAAGAACTTATTAAAAAGCAATCTTAAAATGTTCAAAGAAAACTGCCAGAAAACAACTCCAAGATGTCAAAGAGAACTACTAGAGAACAATATTTTAAAAAGAGTTTTTTGACATTTTGGAGCCTCTCTTTGTTAAAATTACCAAAAAACTAAAGAGAACAGCTTCAAAATGTCAAAGAGATTTCTAAAAATGCCTAAAAAGCATAAAGTTAACCTGATTTTTTTTAAAAAAATATTAAATAGTATTTGTTCTGGTCAGGTTATTGAAGTATATACTAAGTATAAATTTTAATTGATTTGGATTAACAAATTAAAAAATGTTTATCTATAATCTATCATAATAACCTGTTACAACCAGATTTATAACAAGTTATTTTTTAAAGATCTATTTTTAGATGGCTTGTAAAAAGTATACAATATTTAAAAAAGTAAGCATTAGCAAATAATTTATTATATAAATCAATATTTTGAATATCAAATTATATAGTAGAATGTTTGTATTATATTATAATATAGTTAACACATTTTTGCAAAAAAAGCTATAAGCTATGTTTTTATTTGCTAGTCCTCATATATAGGCCAGGCTGGGCTTGGCTGGCAAAAAAATAGTAACTCTAAATGCAGGCCAGACCAGGTTAGAAAAAAAATTTTAACCCTAAATGCAGGCTAGGCTGAGCTTCAAAAATAGATAATTTGCAGGCCCCTAGCCACAAGGACTTATTTAGTGTTTGCACCACCTGATTTGTTGGTTTGCATTATCTTTTCTAGTATTGCTGTCAAAATTCTACTATCATATAATGATGAAAAATTCTTTAAAGTTTATTTAGGTTAGGGTTAGCATTTCTAATAAGGCTGAGTACTAGCAGGTTTATAGTAAAATTGTTCAAAGAATTTTTTTTGTTAGAGCACAAAATGTATTTTCTTATTCAAATTTTTGAAAATATGCAATTTTTGACAAAATAAGGATCTTTTAATGTTTGTTTTGAATTTTCCTGATTATGTTATGTTACACCAAATTATGGCATATTAATGATCAATTTGCCATCTATAGTCACATGATAGTAGAATTTTTATGGTAATACTGAAGTAGTTGTTTGCATTTTGTTGTGTAATAAGTTACACAGATGCCCTATAAACTGCTAGTTATGCTGATGTAACTGCCATTACAGGTATCCTAATCTGATCATTAGTAACAATTGTTATAATACAAATATTATGTAAGTAATTATTCAAATTTTAACTATCAATAAGATTTAAACACCCAACTGACTACTTAAAGGGTTAATAATCTGACCAATTCACTTGGTTACTATATTCGTTTTAGAGCTTTATTTTGATATATTATATATTAATATTAAATTAATATTAAAGATTTTATGTAAAAAATCTTTACAAAACTTATGTTTTTTTGCGAATTTTTTTTTTTTGGAAAGTTTTTTTTTCTAGGATGTGCAGTCTTGCAGCTCTTTATCAACAATTCATAATTTTAATTAATTTATATAAATTTACTTCTTGTTTTAACTAACTTAACAAAATTTTAATTTTTCTATTTTTGAATTTATTAATTAATACAAAATTCTGTTTAATATCAGTTATTGTAATTACTTAATCTGCATATTCTGTGCTACCTATTTGTTACATCCTCTTATTTGTTATATCACTTACATATTACATTTTTTATTTATTACACTTTATTTTCTATTACACTTTCTTAATTGTCACATTTTATAAGTTTAGATGTTCTTTATTCAAGAACTTTGTTGTTTATTCTGTTTCTATTTTTTAAACTTTTAATTATATCTACTTTAGTCTCTAAAGATTTTGACTCTTACAATATTAATTACTATCATACTAGATATAAATATTATTATGATATAATAATAGTTAAAATAAAATCTTAATTTTTAATTATGATGCAATTTCTAAAAAACTTATTATTTAAAGTTTTTTAACAATATACTATTGCTACATGTTATTGTAAAGCATATTAGTTTTATTTCTTAACTTTTTAAAATCCTTTAATTTATATCTCTTAAGCAGAACACAAATTACTAACTTATTCTGATGATCACTTATACCAAATTCTTTTTAAACAAAACTGCTTTTTTCTTAAATTATTATTAAATAAACCTATCTTGGATGTCTAAGTATACTTGTTTCTTATAAAATTTTATATATAGGCAGCCTACTCTTATATCTCTAAAAGTGTTTAGCACTAGGATATAACTAAATTAAATAAATTTCTATTATTGCTAAATACTTATTATCTTACTAAGTAAAACACAGTAGCTACTTAAAACAAAAAGATTCAGCACAATTTTATCTTCATTTGATATATTATACTCCCTATATGGTCAAAAACTGATAGTTTTATTGAAAAATATATTGAAACTCACTTGCAAATTTTTTTAAAAAAATTTGAAAAATTTTTTTTTCTTTTTTTGAAGGACCCTGACTCTCTAGGGTGTTCCAGACCTGTAAATCACTATTACTAATCAAAATTACTAATTATTTTACAGAAACTTAGCTTTGTTTCATCTATTTTTAAACAAAACTTAATATTACCAATTTTGGCTTAAAAAATTTACACAAATTTTGCTCTATATTGATCACACCAATCACTTAGGCATCACATCAGGTGCTACCTTATTCATCACACCCTTTTATTTATCACATTTCTTATTTGTTATACCCCTTATTTGTCACACCCCAACACCAAAAAAATGCCTACTTTAACCAACTCTCAAAAAGCAGATACTTATAATATAAACTACTACTATTCTAAATACAAAAACTGCTATGGAGTTGGGCTTCAAGAGGTCAAATCCCAAGCTCTAAGAGTCCTTCCACCAGCAGCTAAACCTGACTATTGTAATGATAAAAAACAACAACATTACTTTAAAGTCCTATTACAACCTGCAATTGCAATCTGCCTCTGTGGCAATTTTATATAAGCTTTACTTCTTGACATTACAAAATTACTCATCTAACTACAATTGGTCAACCTATTAACCCAACTCAAACTCAAATCAGAAATACTATTTCTTTACAAAGTTTTAAAAAAACAAAAGAACTACCAGCCTCACTAGTTCCTAAATCAACTTATTAAACTTAATCTTCTTCATCCTCAACAGCACGTGTTCTTTTTTCAAACTTTCAAACAGACCCAACTCCTACTACTATAATTGCACACTTCAAACACTACCATACTTGTTTTCTCTGTAAACTTAAAAATATTCAATGTGTCTTTATTGACAATCAACAAAATCATGCTTCAAATTATACAATAATATACGTCTTCAAAGGCTCTCTAATTCATTATATCTGTATACCATATATTCTAAATCTAAAACTCTAAATTAAACCAATTGAACTGATAACCCCATTTAACTCTGACCAAAAAAAAGTAATTATTCTTTATAAACTTAGCACTATGTCTGCAAAAGACAAAATCCAACTATACAAATCTATTTTTCTCAAAAAACCAAACTCTCAACACTTTACCAAAGAACAAAAGCAAAAACAAAAACAAACACCTAGAGATACTTCTAATAATCTTAATTGGTTCAAAGAATTTCTAATTACTGAAGAAATAAAACATCATACTAAACTCGACAATAAACTAGCTTTACAAATACTTGAATTTATTAAACCACATCTTATTAACATATACTCAGGAAAAATTATTAAACAAACAACTGAAAATAAACTAGCATCTAAATTCAATTATATGTATCTAATTAAAACCTTAGCTGGCCAATGGTCTAAATTTCTTACAAACTTTATTTATGAAAATAACCCTTCTACAAACTAATCCTTTGCTATTCCTTTTGAACTAATTCACTCTACTCTTATCATACTTCTTAAAGGATTTACTACCACACTCTTTACTCACCTCAATTATCCAAAAATCTTTACTTCATACAACTCAATTTTACCTTACACTACTTCAAATAGAATGCAAGTTGCACTAAACTTTGCATGCTTACATCTTATTCTTTATAACAAATATAAAACCATCAATACAAAAAAATTCTATAAAGATCTTAAACTTTATCCAATATTCTTCAAACTTTATTATTATATCAGTAAGGACAGCATTAACCAACCTCTTTTTAAAATCCAAAATGATACTAAATTCAACATCAATATATCATTTAAAATTCTGAAACAACAATTTCTTTAAACTTTTTAAATTCTATCTCTTAAAGATCACTTAACACAATTCAAAACATGGTTCAATACTTTTTTTAACATTTATAAATAACAATTTATTTAAATTGATATACAAAAAACATTCAACTTTATCAAATATCAAATTGCTCTCAAACTCTCTGAAATTTGTAAAGCCCTCTTACCTCAACAATTTACTATTACCTCTATTAATTCATTATATAAACATTCACAACTCTGCTTTAAAGCAGCACTCTATCGTATTTATACATGTACTATAGAAAACTGTACTATATTACCAGATAATACTGAACACAATGTCAAAAATCTGTCAGCTAAACTTTTTGAAGAATCCTTCAAATATCATCCTGCACCTATAAACTCTGTTTCAAACTCAAGCGTTAAAAATAAATAGTTACATCCAATACTAAATATCACAATTTTCAGATATGATAATGATTTCTTAGCAACCTTTCAAAAACCAACACCAATTGCCTATCTCCGACAACTAGCAGCCAAAACTAAATTAGATTTTTTAGAAATCAACAAACTTAACAAATCAGACCATCATGATGTTACTCATGAAAGTTACTACTTTTATAGCTATTTTAATGCATATCTCAAAGCAGCTGCTATAAATGATCAAATAGATAACCTTCATCTTCATTAAGCAAATGACAAAATCACATCAAAACCAATTAATACCCACTTCTTAGCTAGAGTAATTACCTATTTCTATATACTCAAATCTCTTGACAAGCTATTCATGTCTTATATCAAGAAAGCTTATAAAGACCGATTTTATCCTGAAGCAAAAAAAACACTATTCTCCAAATTTAAAATCCAGTTCAAAGTTTCTAAAATTAATACAAATTTCTTTAAACCTAAACCTAACAAAACCATCATAGAAAATACATCAAAATCACTTTCTATAACACA